CTTTCTGTAGCTGGTCTATGAGAAAGAACAAAACTGATTTCTTTGCAGCAAACTGGGACCAGATGCGTTTCTCTGTGTACAAAGTTTAGAACTCCAAGCAGCTGCTTTCAGTTTTTAATAATGGATTATGGTGTCGAGGGGCCTGCACTAACTTTGATACCCATGCCTAGGAAAGCAGAATGGAAGTGTTTGGGCTAACCTCACTGGTCGATTTCTAACACACCCGGGGCACGTGTGATTCCGCGTTCCCTTGAAGCAGAGCGTAACTGTTTAATGCCATCTGGACAAGAGCGATGTCATCCAAGGATTCCTGGTCACAGACTCCCACTCATCCCCTAGCCTGGCTCCATGGTGCTCAAAGAGGGTCTTCAATTCAGCACTGAGAGCCCAATTACGATTCATGTCCCTGAAGTTCCTGGAGAGTCTGGGATCCTGCCTGCTGCTCTTCGCCCTCTCATCGAAGCTCCCTTGAAGCCCGAAGCTGTGCAGAAAAATTCACACATACAGTGAGAGTGGCAGCATTTGCCTTTGGCTAGCTTTTCAAATAAACTGCTCCTCTTTTCTCTGATACTAAAGTCCAAGCTCCAGGCTTGTGGGGGAGAAGGCATGTCTGTAGGTGAATTCATTCTCTCTGAGTGAAGTAGCAAAGGGAAGAAAGGAGGGGGCCCATTCAACATCTCGAAATTTCTGGCCAAGGCTGAGTGTAAAGGTGGGCTTCTGAATGCATCTGTTAAATCAAGACAGACAGCCCAGAAAGCCATACAGAAGTAACAGAATAGATTCCAGAAGGATTTCATGAACTGATTACGAAATGTGAAATAAAATCTGGCCATCTCATTGGACAAAATTTTGGGTAAAAGACCAATATTTGTGTGTGTGTGTGTGTGTGTGTGTGTGTGCACATTTAACTGGAGATTTATCAAGAGATTATTTTAATAAATTGCTACATATGATTAGGGAAGTTGGCAAGTATGAAATCTGCAGAAGAGGATAGTAGGCTGGAGACTTGGGGAAGAGAAAACGTTACAGCTCAGGTCCGAGGCAGAGGGTTGACAAAATGCCCCTCTTCCTCAGGGGACCACAGTCTGTCTCTGTTAAGGTCTTTCACTGATGGAATGAGGTTCACCCACACTGTGTTGGACAATGCGATTTACTCAAAGTCTACTGACTTTTCATGGCAACCTCCAGTTGGTGTTTGACCAAATATGTGAGTCTTATGAACTAGCAAAGTTGACATAAAATTAACCATCAAGTCCCAAGTATAAGGATATTTGTATTTGTTAGTTTCCCCTCCAATACCAAAGGAACTGGAGTGCAAAGGAAGAAGTCTCCTTATCACATGAGCTAGTAGAACCAAATGTATTCATCACATATCTATATGTGCATACATACATGTGTGCACTCACACACACATACATGCACACACTCCTATGCAGCACAGGTTCATCCATGTGAAAACATGAATGAGCTTCAGGGTGAAAGTAATCAGCAAAGAAAGAAATCAGAGGTACACAGCCCCCCATGTCCCGTACGTTTCCTCCATCTGGAAGAGAAATGGAAAATTGACTCTGGCAACTCTCCACAGACTTCACCCTGTCCTGTTGGAATTTCCTAAAGTGAAAGTCTAATTTTTCAAAACTATTACGACTCAAACTTCGCTATGTCCAGGGCAAAAAACCTTTGCACAGTGATACTCCTTTTTGTGTTTGAAAGTCCTTAAGGATGATGGATCACTTAATGAGAATTTTCTTCAAAGAATTCCAACTTAATTTTAATATGCATCAGTGGTCCTCATTCCAATGGGGAGACTCTGGTCTGAGAAATGGCCAAGACTGTGTTTTTTGAGGATTCATACATTTGTGTGTGTGTGTGATTAGATGTAATTTTATAGTAAAACTGAATAATGAACAAAAAGCTTTCTTTTTTCTAAGTATCTCAAAGAAAGTATAGCAAACATTTGGTGATACTGAAAAAAGCTACTTGACGGTTTTCTTTTCTTCCTCTGACCTTTGGCCAAGATTTGGACTGGTATTCTGTAGAGCTGGCCTCTGAATATTTCTTTCTGTCTAGGAGCAAGATTCCAGTCCAGAGTCCTGTGGCCAACCCCCTGTGCAACGGTATTTTAGATCTGGTTATAACAGACTACTTGGGCCATTTCTGTAAGACTTCTGCAGGGAGTGGGACTAGATGGCTTGTGAGGTTCCTTGCCAGGCCCAGGCCATTGATTCTGTTCTCAAATAAGTACACTTTAGCCTCCCTGCATTTTTAATGGGTACAGTGTCCATCAAAATCAGGCCACTGAGTGCAGCCTCTCAACGTGGGGAATGACCACTAGCTCTTTACCTTCACATTAGAAAAAAGTGAAATCGACAAGGTGCCACTAAGCCACTGGCTAGTTGGGCCCTGAGCAGGGTTGCTGGATTTTGCAAGTAAAAATCTATCACATCCCATTAAATTTGAGTTTCAGATAAATACCAAGTAGTTTCTTAATATAAGTGTGTCCTATAAATACTTGACACATTTTTATGCTTAAAAAATTGTATTTAATGTTCATCTGTTATTCAAATTTAATGAGAAATTCTGTATTTTATCTGGCAAACTTATCCTTGGGGTATTCTGTTTTGACTGCACTCTGGGTGGCAGAGACCTCATTTAATTGCCTGTGGATTTGTCTCCCAAGTCATTTTCCCATGACAAAATTTTTGCTCCCTACTATTCTACAGTTTTCCTATCTTGGCATGTCTTCCTTGCTCCCCAGTCATTGCTCTGGCTTTATCTCTATCTGGAATATTTAAATCATCAGTTTCTGTTCTTTCTTAGGTTTTCCTGAGATGCCAAGAGGATTTCAAATCAGCGGGGGTCCTGTGCTGTGAAAAGGGGCTGTAAATGCAAATCCATTCAGGAGCCATTAGGTGATATAAATGTTTGAAGCAGGGCAGGTGCCATCCCATAGATAATAGTGGAGTCCGTGTCCAACAGCAGAGTGCAGGCCCTTCCTGAAGACGTTTCCAAAAGCTTCATAAATCACTGTGCTGGCCAGGCCAAGCATATCTGCTTAGCTAATGTGCTGCAGTCTTGCATCTCATGGTTTAAGGCAAAATGCTTCCCAGACTCTTTTCCTTGGAACATTAGGTCTTACAAAATATTAAAATAAATTTGAGGAACACTGTGTGTCCCCTCTTGAATATCAGTGCAAAGCTCACTAACTAGGACCTAATTTCTAAGAAGTAGAAATGATACCAGTCATATTCTCTGCTTTAACCCTAGAGTTTAGCGTGTAGAAGCTTCTCAATAAATGTGTTGAATGAATAAATGGAGAATGAAGTCTTAGTTTATCCTCCCCTGTCTCGTTCATCGTGAGAAACCAATATTTTAAATATAAATTTTGGAGGAAAACCAAACTGTTAAAGATTCTTGTGGTTGAGAAATTAATTGAATTTAACATATGATATGTAAACTTTGAACCTTGGCCTTGCTAGCTGAATCTGGCCCTGGAATGTATTTTATTTGGCCAATGCAGTGGTTTAGAGAAATGTCAACTTTTATGCCTTGAGACGAACCTGAGCCGGTGGCTGACCAGTGTCCTCACTGTTCCTATCGTCTGGTTTGCTCTCTGCCCTTAACATCACTTAACTGGCCTTTGGAGGTATTTGCATCCCAGTGTCTTTCAGGGGATGATCTGTCAACTTCAAGAGCACAGATTCTGATGTAAGACAGTTTTCAGTTTAGAGTCCCAGATCTTTCATTCACCAAGTGTATGACTTTGGACAAGTTATTTACCTAAGCCTCAGAGTCCTCATTTGCAAAAAAAAAAAAAAATACTGATGATAATAGTACTTACTTCATAGATTTGTTAAGAGTATCAAATGATGTAATGTAAACTGCTTAGCGTATATCTGGCACATAGTAATTGTCCTACTGATATTATTGTTGTTTATATAAGAATAATGGTTGTTAGTGTTGTTTTGGTTTCACATGTATGAAGACCAGGTTCTAGAATTGACAGAATGACTTTCAAGAAGCCCAGAAATTAGGAGCTACCAATCTCTTCTTTTCAAAGTCTAGAAAGAAGACAGATGATGAGTGAATACATTTGTCTGTTATTGAGTTTGGCTTACTGATATATTCCAAGTACTAGAAATGTGCCTAGTGTATAGTAAATGCTCAGTAAGAATTTAGTGAAATACATGAACTGATACTTCTAGATGGATCTTACTCAGATCACAAAGCCTCATGAATTTCAGTGGCTTGGCTTCTCCTGACTAAGCCCTAGTCTTGGCCAAGCAGGGGTCTGGGTGGAGATAGTGCCCTGCCTCACCAGGGAGCTGGAGCCAACCTCTACACCCAAGGAAGCCCCCAAGGTCACTGCTGATCCTCGTAACTTCTTTTGTAACCCCTTGCACTTTGAATCAGGACCGGTCTGTGTGACCCATGGAATACAAAAGTGATAGTGTTTGACTTTCAAGGCTCTCAGTCAGAAACATGTATTGCAGCTTAAGTTTTGGTCTCTTGTATCACATGCTGTGGGGGAAGCCAGCCTGCCTGCTGTGAGGGTGTCTGTGAAGGTCTGGGGAGAAGCCTTCTGTTTGCATTCCTTTTTAAAGTACATTTTAAAGTTTATTTTATTGTGTTATTTAAAAATTAAGTGTAGTGCCATTGGTTCATAAAATTTTGTAGGTTTCAAATATACAATTCTATAATATATCATCTGTATATTGCGTTGTATGCCCACCACCCAAAGTAAAATCATTTGTTTTCTCTGGATAAATATACCTAGAAGTGGAATTACTGGATCATATGTCAGCGATATCTTTAATTTTTAAAAAAATTTTGAAGCCCTGGCTGGTGTGGCTCAATGGCTTGAGCACCAGCCTGTGAACCAAAGGGTCGGTGGTTCAATCCCCAGTCAGGGCACAGGCCTGGGCTGTGGGCCAGGTCCCCAGTGGGACGGCACAAGAGGCAACCACACACTGACGTTTCTCTCCCTTTCTCCCTCCCTTGCCCTCTCTCTAAACATAAGTAGATGAATAATATTTTTAAACAGCTGTGTGTGGTGCTGGGGGTCAGGCTGCAGTGCCAGAGCAGGAGCTTGTGCATAACTGGGGCTGACTGCTCCTCGGCTGGTGGCCTTTTTAACCACGAGCAACATGGCAAAAAAGAAGAAAAAAGAAAAAAATTTTGACTTATTTATTTTAGAGAGAGGGAGAGAGAGATCAATTATTTTGTTGTTCTACTTACTTATGTATTCATTGGTTGATTCTTGTATGTGTCCTGGCTGGGGATCGAACCTGCAACCTTGCCATATTGGGACAGTGCTTCAACCAACTGAGCTACTTGGCCAGGGCAGGAATATTTGTTGAATAAATTATCTTACTATTTAGGGGTGTATTATGTATGAAGGCACAAACACAGTCCTGTTACTGTGTTTTAGTCATGGAGAAGTTGACATGCTCCATCTGTTCCAGAATATTGGGGACAAAAAGTAATTCTTCTGACAGTTTAGCCTGTTTTTCCTTCCGAAGACCCTACAACTGTATGCTTTGGAGTCAAATGTGGTAGTCCCCCAAGGCTGGAGAAAGCAGAAACTTGGGTTTGGTAGAATTATTTGCAAAAGTAGGGTGATATGTCTTCTCATTGGTTTAAGAGGTTTAACAGCTTTGAAACATGAAAGCCCATTTGCAGCTTTGGAAAACCACCCTGTCCAGTCATTCTGCCCTCAGACCATCCTGCCCTCCCCGTTCCGTGTGTGTGTGTGTGTGTGTGTGTGTGTGTGATGTTTAGTGTTTGCCTGTTTACTGGGGCCATTTATGTGAACACAGAGGCTTTGCTGCTTATGAATACATTGGCCTTGTTCACCCGTGGTCTTGATTCTGAGTTGATGAAATCATCAGTTGCCATGGAGAGAGTCATGACTTCTCAAGCTGAGCACACCAAGTTCAGGTGTGTAATCAACTGGAGGAGCAGTTGGACTTGAGAGTAACGAAGACCCTATTATCATGTAAATGTTCTTAGCAGCCAAAACCATGGAAGGAGAGACATAAGATCTAAACACTCAAGCACATCAGCCTCCACTGTGCTGCCCAACGTGAGCCTTTTTAAAGCTTTGCATAAAGGACTTGTGTCTTGTTAACACAGCTGATGGTAAGCGGTAGAAGAGGAAACCATGACAAACGATCCTTCTTTTTTTGAGCAGCAGAATCCAAACACTCTGCTTTAAAGGGTCTGATTAGTGAGTTTGTAAAATGCCTAAGCCTCTTGAATTGTTAAGTTCTAACTTTTCCCCCCATCTTTCCTTCTTGTAGTTTATGGGATCAGCGCTTCTCCAATGAAGTGCGCGGCTGAGTGCCCTGGCAGGGGTGTCGTTCCGGTGCGGGCTCCAAGTGAGCGGTCTGGGGCGGGCAGGACTCTGCGTTTCTAACGAGCTCCCAGGTGATGCTGGTGCTGCTGATCCCCAGACCACAAGGAGTGGTGAGGGCTTTGAAGTCAGAATCCAAACTCTAAGTCAAAATAAGGGTCACATGGCTGAAAACCTCCGAGGAGCACTTACCCTCTGGTTACCGAGAATATTACTGTCTTTTCCAAATTCTAAGCCACATGTTTCTTCATATTTTAGCTTTTCTGAAGTTGGTATGTGGAAATCCTATCAAAAAATTTTACAGCTACTGAGCAGACAAGCAAGTTGTGACATATGGGTTGTTATCTGAATACGTGTGAAATCTGTGGCTGTTGGAGCTTGTTCGTCCATTTGTCACCTCAGTTATCTGCCTCGGTAGCACCGCATGGGGGTCAAATTGTAACTTACATTTGTTTCTTAATACTTTCATAAAACACTTGGTTCCACATTGTATTCATCTGGAAAACTTAAAAAAATATGGATGCCTGGGTCCCAGATCCAGAGATTCTGAGGCACTGGTTCTCCCCAGATGATTCTAATATGCAGCCAACTTTGAGAACCACCGTGTTAACATGTCTTCACAATGATCATACGTTCACAGACCACTGAGGCAATACGTTATTGTGTACATGCCAAGCCATGTAAAGCAGGAGAAATGGCCACACATCACAGTAGAGATCACAGACATCTTCTCAAAGGTCAGAGGGGCTGGCTGTGGGTGAGCAGGACTCAGCCACGTGGCCATCCCCTCGCAGTGGAAGCTTCCTGACTTTGTCGCAGAGGTGTTGTTTCATATCCAGTGATGGATCAAAACTGAATTTAGCCAAGTCAAAAAATGCGGATGAGATCCTGGTTTCATTTAGTGTGCCTCAAAATCATGCCAGCCCCGAGGAGGCAGAGGTCAGGAAAACCACATGTTGTGACACTGAGCATGGCTCCATGTGGCCAAAAAGGATCCAAAACTTTCTTTCATCCCTAATGTGAAGAAAGTGTGGACTTAAACTTAGATTGTAATTCTGAAGAAGAAAGGGCCCTGTTACAAGAGGGATGTTTCGAGGGTCAGCTGAAGGCAAGGTTCCAGCTGCTGTCGACAGGGCAGCCGTGCCCTCTGAGCCCTGCCCCTCGGTCCCCGTGCCACCCTCTTTGACGGCCTGGCCTCCATCCTCCAGAGATGGAGTGAGAAGTGGGCAGCGTAGGCTCATGCTCAAATGAGGTGACACTCAAAACTGGAGGCCCTGACCGCGTAATCACAATTTCTTGCTTTGGGTGGGTTTTTAGTTCTTACAAGACAGAGATGGCAGACACTTAAATGCCTCCTTGCCACTGATCTGTGGTCAGTCTGAGCCTGTGATCCTGCTGCCCTACCAGTCATTAGGCTGTTGCGTACGCTAGGGGGAAGTGAACTAACTGGTTTTGTCATCTCATTCTCCACACACACACTCTCGGAAGAGGGGATGGCTCTTGAGAGGGAGGGGTCAGAATAAACTTGACCGCAGGCTTGGTTCTGGGAGGAATGCAAGTAGTTGGGAGGAGGAGGTATTGGGGAGGTTCCCCAAAGAAGGGGAAAGAAATTGGTTTGGGAGATTTGTCCTCATTGAGACCTACGGTCAGCAACCCCACCCTCACTAAGACCCAGACCTGGGCTGGACCTCGGAGGGGAACTGGTGTCTAGAGAGACTAGCGAGGCCAAGCCATGGACGCAGGGTTCCTGGCCTCAGCAAAGACAGTGGATAAGCTGCCCTGTGTGCCTTCGGCCACATCTGGGTTTACCTGTAACTGCATCAAGTAGTTCACCGACTTTCTGCCTCGGGTGCCTGACCTTATCTAAGGCCCACTTCTCCTCTTGTACTTTACTTGTCACTCGCCTTCTCAGACACTTCAGTTCGATGATCATTACTACTCTCAAACATCCATTTCTCCCTATCTGTTAAATTATCCCTATTAGCTTATGGGAAACTCTGATACCATCTCTTTAAAAAAAAGAAAAGATAAAACTCCTTTTTTCATCAAAAATCTCTCAAAAGTGCTTCCTAAAGTTTCTGTATTACCTCTAATTCTTTCTTCAAACTACCCAAACATTCCATCTCACCCTGAAATGGCTGTTACTGGGGTCAACAATGAGTGACTTTTTGTTAACAAGCACTTGTCTGTCCTCATTTTACTTATGTTTGGACATGTGGGCTGCATGCTCTTTTTTGAAATCCTCTCTTCTCTAGATTACCCTAACCCCACCTTTAAAAAGATTTTGTTCTTTTTAGAAAAAAATCAATCAGTTAAATTCTATTAAAACCAATTGATTTAGTTCATTATATTTCTTGCCATTATAACTATATTTAGGTTAATTTATACAGTCTCATGCTTTGCTTGTGTCTGTTCAAATTTTTCTATGCGTATTTTTCTTATATTGACTGAGTTCCCCACTCCTCCCGTTTTCTGTTTGGGAGCTTTCTATTCTGTGTCCGGTTACATTAACATGTTTTAAAAATGTGTTAATTCACCCTTTTAGGTATATAACTATATTAATTTGGGTAAATATAAACAGTTATATCACCACACCTCATGAAGACTTAGAATATTCCCATCATCCCTAGAAGTTACCTCGTGACTTTTATAGTCAATTCTCTTGTTGATGTCCATCCTCTGGCTACTACTGATCTGTTTCTTGTGCCTGTAGTTTTGCCTATTCCAAAATGTAAATTAAAAAAAAAGTTACTTAAATCAGCATGTTATCTATTGAGTCTGGCTTCTTTTCATTAATGTGATACATTTGGGATTAATGCGCATTATTGCAGGTATTGGTAGTTTGTTTTGTCTTGTTGTTCTATGTGTAGTTGTACTACTGCTGTGCTCTCCAGGTGAGGCACGTTTAGGTTGTTTCCAGTTTGGGGTGATTATGGAAAAAAGCTGATATAAATATTTGTGTACAGATTTATATGTGTAATATGATTTTGTTTCTCTTGGGTAAATACCTAGGGATAAATTTGCTGGGTTGCATAATAAGTGCATGTTTGAGGTTATAAGGAACCATTGAACTGCTTTCCAAAGTGGCTGTGTTATTTGACATTCTCACTTCCAGCGAATGAGTGTTTCCAATGTTCTGCATTCTTGTCAGCACTTAGTATCTTTCAGGATTTTATTTTTTTAGTCATTCTAATGGGTGAGAAGTACATTTTATTTTGGCTTAATTTCTGTATCATTGATGATTAGCGATATTGAGTATCTTTTCATATGCTTAGTTACTATCCCTTTATCTTTCCTTGGTAAAGTACATCTCACAAATTTGGTATATTGTATTTTCATTTAATTCAATTCTTTGCATTTTCTAATTTCCCTTGTGACTTCCACTTTTGAAGTATGAGTTATTTAGAAGCCTATTGTTTAATGTTCAAATATTTGGGAATTTTCCAAATATATTTTCCTATTGGTCTAGTTTAATTTTGCTGTGGTTAGAGAACATACATTCTACAATTTCAGTTGTACAATTAAATTTGTTGAGGTTTGACTTGATGCCCAAAGTATGGTCTGTTTTGGTAACTATTCCATTTTCACTTGAATATTCTGCTTCTTATACTTGATGATTCAGTTTTGCCATCAATCCTAGAGAATTCTGTCTTGAAAAATGTATTCTTTCATACTCATGAGGATGATTATATGTATATTTTTAAAAATCTGATAATAATAAATATAGGAAAGAATATGGTGAACCTGAAACCCTCATAACACTGCTGGTGGGAAAGGCAAAATGATAAGGCCACTT